TTAACTCCTGGCCTATCTGGCACACACTTCTTAATATTCTGAAAGCCTTCAATATACAAATCTCTTTCTATAAAGTTTAAGCACACTCTGATAACTTCTTTAATAATCTCGCAGACTTACTGGCCAACAACCACTCCTTATCCCCAATCTTACATTTCAACTATACTACACGTCACTCTGGTTATATCGACAGCTGGATTAACTGACAATTGGTTATATCGACTCTTTTTATAAAAAATATTCTAATATGTAAAAAAAGATTTGGCTATACTGACAATCATAAGAATAACCAAATACACTGACATAACGACCTTTTTTATGTTTTTAGTTATTTAAGTTAATTATTTATACTAGTTATAACGACACAACTTAATATACTGACTGTCATTATAAGTATGCATCAATTAAATTACTCGCTTTTTTATATGTATTCTTCGACACTAATTAGTTAATTCGAAAGATCAAAATAAGTTGCTATTGTAGATATTCAATTAGTTTTAATCTGCTTAAATTATTATTATCATTATTATTATGCATTTAATCAACTAGCATAGTACTAACTAGGAAACTCTTTAATATTAATATATTCCCAGGACCATACTAAATTTGGGAGGTTATTAAATAATTGTTTAAGTGTAATTATGAAGATAAAAATAATGTAAATGCCCCTGGTAAAAAAGTTTCGTGTATACAATTTATGTAGTAATAAAGAATAAGAACACAATTTTATAAATAGAAATAGCTAAATACTAAATTGTAAAATATACTTTTGTAAAAATTCTTAATAAAATAATTGCTAATTACAAGCACAGTTTTAGATTAGATTCAGATTCGTATAAATTATAACCCAATAACTTATTTATAAAAGGAACTTGATACTATTAAAGGTACAGAAAAAAAAGAGAGTTAATAAAGTAAGCCTATAATTAAACAAGAATCTAATCCAGGATTTTTAATCTTATAAATTCTCACCCAAATCCTAGTTATACCTTTAATGAATTGCCTCGTATGTGTATTAGTAGTATATATATATATTATAAGTCATTTTTTGGTTCCGTTAATTTTTTCTTTATAAAACAATATAACAATATGTCTGATAACGAAACTAGCTTTACAAAACATAAACCTAAAGAAAAAGTCAATTCCCAGTCATCTAAAAAACCTCGAAAAATTTTAACCGGCAAGCAAAAAAAAGAATTATGCCAGTTAGCAAAGGACAATCCCAATTTTACTCAACAGGAATTGGCAAATAAATTTGGTGGTATTGGGCGGTCAACTGTTGCAGAAATTCTTTCACAAACATCATATTGGCTTGAATTAAATGAAGAAAGTGCTATAGCACAACAAAAACGTAACTGACCACCTGATTATCCACAATTAGAACAAGCTCTTGCTCGTTGGTTTGATCTTGCACTAGAAAATAATATAACAATAACTAGTTTAATTTTGCAAGAAAAAGCTAAACAAATTGCAGTAGCTTTAGAAATTGAAAAATTTAATGCATCTGATGGCTGGTTACAAGGTTTTTTTTTTTTTATTTTTAACTCTAATATTAGAGGTACTATAAAGCATACATTAATATTACTTTTTTTTTTAATACAAGGTTTTAAAAAACGACATCATATAGTTTATAATGTAAAAGTTGGAGAAGCAGCTAGCGCACCTATTGATAAATTACCTGAGTTTCGACAGTCTTTGCAATTAGAGTTAATGAATTATGATCTAGAAGATATTTACAATTGTGATGAAACAGCTCTTTATTGGCTTTTAGAACCATCAAAGTCTCTTACACATGGTCGTGTAGCAGGTGTTAAAAAACCAAAAAATCGTATTACAGTAATGGTTGCATGTAATGCACTTGGGGATAAATTACTGCCAGTAATTATTCATAAATATCAGAATCCACATGCATTAAGAGGAATAAAAAAAGAAACATTACCTGTTCAATATTATTGGAATAAAAAAGCTTGGATGCAAACTTCAATTTGGCATAATTGGTTATCTAAATTAGACCGTCAAATGCGACTTGCTCATCGAAAAATTTTATTATGTGTAGATAATTGCTCCGCACATGCTATTGAAGGTTTAAATTTACAAAATGTCAAAGTTTATTTTTTTCCACCAAATACTACTGCATGGTTGCAACCATGCGATGCTGGAATTATTTATTCTTTCAAGGTTAATTTTTAACTCTTTTTTTATTTATATAAGTAATGCTAAGTAAAAATTTATTGTAATTTTGCTATGTCAAACTCATAGTAACTCATAATCATATTAGTTTAATACTACCACTACGTATATTTATCTAAAATAATACTCTAAGCATTATTTTTAAGAAATAATTTAAAGAAAGCAAATAAATAATTTTTTTAAATACAAATATATTCTTTTTAATTATCTTAATTATTGCTTTTTCTAAATTACATTTCTTAAAAAAATATAATAATAACAATAATTTTAACTTTTTATATATTAATATATAATTTAGTGCCACTATCGCAAACTATTATTACAAAACCGAATTACTGCATTTGATGAATCAAATATAACAAATCAACCTCCAGATCCAGTAACGATTTACAATGCAATTCTGTTTGTAGCAAAGGCTTGGAAAAATGTTACCGAAGATGTAATTATTCATGCATGGCAAAAAACAGAGATTCTTCCTTCAGCAGATCTTGAATCTTCAATTGAACCTAATGATGATGAAGAAGTTGAGTTGGAAGAACTTATTATGCAATACCAAAATTTAAAAAATCCTAAAAATTCTGAATTAACAACTAGTATTTCTACACGCGAATTTATTGAAATTGATAACAAATATATGACAAGTGAAATTCCCAAAATTGAAGATATTATAGCAGAAATACAAGAAGAAGATGATGAGGAAGAACCCGAAAAGCCAGTTAAATCTGTTACAACTGTTCAAGCAATTGCTGGAGTAGATTCGATCTTAGATTATATTGAACAGCCTAATGCAAATATTGAAATTGATATTAAAGTATTTGCTGAACTTAAACGAATTCGAAAAGAACTTGTTAGCTTATCAAAAAAAAACTCCAAACAAACAAGATTAGAGTCATTTTTTATCTATGAATAGTTTTTAATACGCTATATATCGATATGTTTATTTAGTTCTTTACAGTATTCTTTTAAAATATAGCATTATGTAGTATTTTAGAGTTGGTTTATATAAATAAAATCGGGTAGGTCTAAGATTTTTTTATTTGTTTTTAACTTCTATATAACATTATCAATAAAGTAAAACACTATTTTATATTATCAATAATTTTCTAATATATGTATGTATTATATATTGCGAAGATACTAAATAATCGGTTTTAATAATTGAAAAATATTTGTTAATAAATTTTAGAAACTAAAAAATAAAATATATACTCATTTATACGTAATTTAAAAATGATAGATTATTTTTAAGAACAAATTCAAATAGTGCTAATTAAATAACAAGAATGGAATTTACATTAGAAACTTAGATTGTTGGCTTTTAGTAGTAATTTATAAGCTCCAGATATATAGTTTTGGGGTTTAGCTAGCAATACATAATTAGTTTGTATATGTGAAAATATTAAATTAATAAAAAGATATATATTATATTAGTCACTAGCTAAATCGACATATTCATATGATTTTATATTATGTTGTTATAGTATAAGGCCTTTGGTTAAACCGACATCTGGATATATCGACAATTTTTTCATTGCTAGAGAGTGTCGATATAACCAGAGTGACGTGTACAAGTAAAGACAAAAATATATACTATGTTTATACAAATATAAAAAAATTGAAAAAGAAAATACAATTTTATTGATTAATTAAACCAAATTGAAATATAATAGATCATATAAACAGATATGAATTGGATAATTGTAAAGAAAATTTACATGAAACAATACCAAGAGTAAATCAATTAAATTGTAAATTATGAAAAAATAATACTTCAGGATATAATAGAATTAGTTTTATTAATTGATAATCCGCCACTCAACAGGTGCATGATCTTAGTATAATATAATGCAGTTTACTATGTAAATCTATTATAGTGCAAATGTGGTAATCCTCCAAGTAAAACTTTTTTTTATACTAAGTTAATTAATCTTGTTGATTAATTAAAAGTTGTAGAGCTTGTCTTTGTAGTTCTAATGGTGGTTGAATCATCCAAATCGGCTCAGTGGATGCTGAGATATCTTTAAAAAACATGGTAATAACTATATAAAATCTCTTTTTAAACAATATATTGCTTAAAAAAAGATTTTATATAGTCATTGACATGTTTTTTAAGGATATTTTAGCATCTACTGGGCTGATTTGGATGATTCAACCACCATTAGAACTACAAAGATGAGCTTTACAGCTTTCAATTAATTAACAAGATTGATTAACTTAGTACAAAAAAGTTTTACTTGGAGAAACACATATTCACACTATAATAGATTTATATAGTAAACTGCATCATGTTACACTAAGATCATGCACCTGTTGAGTGGTGGATTATCAATTAATTCAAATTGTTGGATATTTCAATATTATAAAAATAATAAAAGAAAAATTAAATATTAAAAGACCCTCTCTTCCCGTCTATTACTTATACAAAATTTTCCTAACAAAAAAATTGCTAAATAATTAAATGACTCTAAATTTTATTAAGCCAACTAGCTTTCTGCTTCTAAATAAACAAATTCTGCTCATAAAAATACATATAATATTAAAGTTTTGAATTGTTAACTCTTAAGTTTACTTAAATAAAGGCCTTTTGGCCTAAAAGCTACAAATTTGTACTTTTTATTAAAACCGTCTTCTAAACTTATTCTTTAAGTTTAGAGAAAGTTAAAGAGCTCACTCTTTCCATCCTAACAAGCTATAAAACACATTTGTAGCATCAAAACTGACTAGAATATAACCAAATTACTCCAAACTCCTCTATATTTTTTACTTCTTTTTTTCTTTTTTTTCTCTTTTATAAAAAGCTCTATAGGCGTTTTTCATACAATCTACATACCCCCAAACCATGTCACCCACGTTTTAAATAATTTAAAACTAGTGGTTCTCTTTAAATATACAAATTACAAATCAAATTTACACAAATTAATAATCTAATTTACACAAAACAAATATTTACTTTTTTGTATTCTTCTTTAATTAACACAGAGTAAAGCACCCTAGTACTACAAATTTGTCTAATCTGTATAACACAGTACCCGGCCCAACACGTCACTTGGCATGTGACCTTATAGCATGTGACCTCTTGTACTACCTATATTGACCTTACTAGCTTAACCTTTTATGAAAATTTTTTTACTCTATTTAAAAGCCCTCTTTTAGCTAAAACATAATTTATTATTTTTTAAACCTGATTTATTATTACCAAACATATTTTTTAAACAAATTTCTTCTATAACACGCTAAATTCAAAAGATATTTTTCCTTTTTAGTTTATATTATAAATATATCTCAATATATCTACTCTTATTTCTAACAAGCCTGATTTTTTTGTCCTCGACTACTGGTACTTTAGGTACCCCAAACGCCATGGTCTCGCAATGGTAGAAAACAAATCTGAAACTCTTCATATTCTTTCTATTAACATTGATCCAAAGCTTTGTGAAGATAAAAACAACAAAAAATATCACTACTTTCACTTACATACTCAACCTGCACTTAAAACATGTATTTGTGAAAGTTTTATGCAAACTTTATCTCAAAATTTTATAAAATCTTTCTACCCCAACAACAACCAACTCAAACCTTACCTATGGATATGTCTTCAATTATCTCTAAACAAAGATTCAACAAAATTATTGATGAACTTCCTTCATCACCTGCTTCTAAAATCACTTCTAGAATTCTTTTTTCTAACTTTTCTTCCCAACCAAACCCCAATCTGAAAATCATTACTCACTCTCAGCACCTATATTACTGCACTATCTGTAAAGTTAACAATATATCTTGCATTATGCCTAATGATGACCAACATTATCTAGATATAGAAAATAACTTTATTTTCAAAAGAAAACTCTTTCATAATTCTTGCAAACCTCAAATTCTCTATATCAAATACAAACCTCTCTCACAAACTAAACCTTTTACTCCTTCCCAATGTGCAGTACTTCTTGTCTATATGTTCAAATACTTCACCAAAACTTTAAAGAAAAACTTTTTCAAAAAAGTTCTCAAACTCATTAAACCTTTTACTCAACAATAGCAACAATCACAACAATCTCAACAAGATCCTGCTCTCTTTCAAGACCAAAAAAACCAACAATAACAACAAAACTCTTCTCCTTTTCAAGAAATCTCTAACCAAACTTTATCTCAAGAGACCACTAATACAAATGATAAAAATACTGAAACAAATAATACACACTCACCTTGTGATACCTCCAAAGACTTAGACTGGTTTAAACAATTCCCTATTATAGAAGAGATGAAACCAAATACCAAATTAAAAACCCAACTAGCACAAGATTTATTTAATTTCATCAAACCCTTCTATGTTAATTTTACTCCTAGTCAACCTATCTCCCCTATTAATGAAAACAAAAACTCAACCAACCAACCCCAACTACAAATTTCCAAACAAAGTTTTAATTATCTTTTAAAAATAAAACACAAAAACATTCCAAATTCCTCATTAATTTTATTACAAAAATTTAATCCAGATCTAGACCCCTCTTTTAATCTTTCTTTTACTGCAATTCAAACTATTCTCAAAAATCTTCTTGCTAAATTTACCCAAATATTTTTCATTAAACTTAACTATACTTACATCCTCTGGTCACATTACTCTATCCCACCATATACAGCTACCAACCGTAACAAAGTTGCTATTAACTTAGCATGCCTGCATCTATTTTTACATAATTACTACCAAACTATCTATTATTAAAATTTTATTCAATACTTGGATATCAAATCTATTTAACTTACCCTAAAATACAATATCCTCATTGACAAACCAAACAAGCCTCTCTTCGATATCTATAATGATAGAAGATTTAATATCTTTGTAACATTAAACCTTCCTAAAGAAAGATTCTTAGAAACCTTTTGTATTCTATCTTTAAAACCCTATCTTAATAGCTTTAAAGATTGGTATAGAAAATTTTTTGAAACTTACAGCAAACAATTTGAAAAAATCGACAAAACAAAAGTTTTTAACTTCATCAAATATGATATTGCAACCAAACTTTTTAAGGACTACAAAGCCCTATTACCTTCAAATTTCACTCTCTCTGAAGTATCTTTCTTCCAAGAATATAAAGACAACTCATCCTAAGCTGCACTCTTCCACCTGTATACATGCAAAGACAAAAATTGTAATATCTTTCCAATTGATAAAGAACACAATCTAAAGGAACTCTGTTTTTTCTTTCTTACAAAATTCTTTAAAAAGTTTTCTCTTCCTGAACCATCATCTACAAAAGAAACTAGAAACTTCCCTGAACTTGATTTTACAATCTTCTTACCAAACCAACAACTTTATGCAACTTTCACTAAACCATTTCCTCTTCCTTCTTTTTAAGAACTTGCAATCTAAGCAGATCAAAAATATATAAAGCTTAACCAAAACTCTGTATCTACCCCTCAATAAATTACTTTCTATCTATACACATATCTTAAAGAATATTTTCACCAAGCAGCAAAAAATAATAATATAGCAAACCTTAATCTTGATGCTGTATTAACCAAAACCATCTCCACTACCTCAGACCCTCATACTCTTGCTAGAGTTATCGTCTACTATGATCTTGCCTATAGAATCTCAACTTCTGAACTCAGGAAAAAATATGATTAAAATTACTTTTCACAAGCTAAACAATTCATTATCAAACACTTCAAGCTAAATATCCCTTCACTACTTGATGATTCCCTTTTTCTTAAAAATCAAATAATCATACTCTCTGCCTCCAATTCTCTTTTTGTCTAAACTTGTTTTTTACAAATAATATAAATGTAGCTATTACTATACTAAAAAATGTACCCATAGCAGTTAGTATAGAAAATGATATAAGTAGATGGATTGTAAAGCTTATTTATCTAGAAGATTTAGATAATGACAGCTCTCTAATGCTTAATCTG